CAAATACTTTGGCCACCTAATGAGAAGGAAGGACTCACTGGAGAAGAGCCTAATGCTGGGAAAGATTGAGGGCAATAGAAGAAGGGGACGACAGAGAATGAGGTGGCTGGATGGAGTCACTGAAGCAGTAGGCGTGAGCTTAAATGGACTCCAGAAGATGGTAGAGGACAGGAAGACCTGGAGGAACGTTGTCCATGGGGTTGCGATGGGTCGGACACAACTTCACAATTAACAACAACATGTGCTAATTGAAAAATAACCAATATGCTGTTAGATTATATAATCAGTAACAGGCTAGCTTTGATGGGTTGTATGGATGCAGAACTAATTAATCTGTAGTGTTTTTTAAATCAGCTAAATAATATTGCTCACCCTCACCAAAATGGTTAGCTGAATTCAGTGGATTTAAAAAGACAAAGTAGGATGAGGCTTTGTTACTGTTTGGTTTAGAAATGTTTTTTAAGACGCCCTGGAGTATTACATACCTTGGTCTTGAGATGGTTTTGGTTGGCTGACCACTCCTGCGGAGGGAAATACTGATGTTGACAGTGGAGTTGTGGAGTCCAAATTTTTTAGAAATAGTTTTGTAACTTTTTCCAGCCTGGTGAGCATGAACCATTATTTTTCAGAGGTCCTCAGGAATCTTCTTTGTTCAATCCATGATACACTGTGTTGAGATTAGATCTTAATAGTGAATTCCCAGGATTCTGTTCTTTAGGCAGGATCTCTCACACTCAAACCCGATTGTCATCTCATAGAAACACCTGATTAATTTCCCCTTCAAGTGAATTGATAATCCTAGAGATTCACATATTTTTGCCACATAGAAATATGTACTTTTGAGTCCTTTTCCTCAGTGAATAATGAACAAATACAATGTTTTAGATTCATTTGCTTAATTGGGTTCTCTCTGTGTAGTTTTAGGATCTGTGGAGAAGAGATGTTTTAAATCATATTTAGACAGAAATATTCAAAATTCAAATGCGTTCACAAACTTTTGTGTTTAAGCACTGCTATAATTCTCTTCCTCACAATCTGAAAACTAATTTATGTCAAATATATTTATATGGATTTCATTCTTCATACCAAGGAAGCAGGACCAATTGCTTGGAAGCAAAGGACTTGCCTAGGATTGAAGAAAAAATAGTTTTGTTTTGTATGAAATTATCCTTTATTTATTTTTTTTATTTTACAACGTATAGGTACCAGACTACTACGATATAATCAAAAAGCCCATCGCTTTAAACATAATCCGTGAAAAAGTGAACAAATGTGAATACAAAGTAGCCTGTAAGTAATGTTGACTAAATAATTTAACAATGTTTAAAACAATATAATTTAAATAATCAGAAGCTTTGGATAATAAATATAGAAAATAACACTGGAATAGGTCTAGGGCTCTGCAGTGCTTCAGATTCAAAAGGAAACGTTTGTTTTGAAGTGCACAGTTACTCCTTACACCAGCAGCTCCTTTAAGCAGCTGCATTTTTTTCCTTGGGTCATGGGAGGCTGGAGTATATTTTCCCTTTTGAATCAGAAACACAGCATTCCCCTGGGACACGGGTCAGTAACCCGTGGCTCCGGAGCCGCATGTGGCTCTTTGAGCCTTTTCCTGCGTCTCCCAGTCCTCCTCCGCCATTTGCAGAGAGAGAGAGACAGAGACAGAGAGAGGCACTTGCGCTTCCCTTCTCTCTCTCTCTCTCTCTCTCTCTCTCTCTCTGTCTCTCTCTCTCTGTGTGTGTGAGAGAGAGAGAGAAAAAAAGAGAGTGGCCTCACACTATTCTCTGACAAGCTTATTGGGCGGGGCTCCTGTCTTTGCTGCATCTCCGCAGGAAGCAGCAGAAAGCATCTCTCTCTCTCTCTCTCTCTCACACACACACACACACACACACACACAGTGGGGGAAGAGGACTGGCAGACCAAGGGCAGGAGAGAGCCAGCCCAATAAGAATGTGTGCCAGCTTGTTGGAGAACAGCATGAAGCCAGCTTGCCAGGTGAGCAGAAGATCAGAGAGAGGGAGAGAGAGGAGGGGGGAAAGAAAGAGAGAGAGAGAGAGAGAGAGAGAGAGAGAACATGCACAGCAGCCTCTATTTCTTTTTAATTAATTCAAGCCACCACCACCCTCCGGCGCACGCACGTGCGAGTTTTGCGGCTCCCAGTGTTTTCTGTGGGAAACGGGTCCAAGTGGCTCTTTGAGTGTTTAAGTTTGCCGACCCCTACCCTGGGACATACCTATCTAAACACAATTAACATTTACATAAAATATTAGAATGCATTGTGTCTCTGTCATATTTATGCTGTCTTATTCTGAGAGAAAGATTGTGATCTCCCCTTCCAACTCCAATCTGTGAGGTTCTTTGGACTGGGAGAACTGCTGGCAATAAGAATGGTATTCAGGTTAAAAAAAACAGGTCTCCGGTCCTTAACCACTATATTGGATTAGCTCTCATAGAAGCAACTGCAATTTCACAGATAAATTCTTTGTTTAGAAATCATTGCTTTTAAGACTATAAAGGCATATTTATTTATTTTTCCTTGCAGCGGAATTCATTGAGGATGTTGAGCTGATGTTTTCAAACTGCTTTGAATATAATGCTCGTAATACAAGCGAAGCAAAAGCTGGAACAAGACTTCAGGCATTTTTTCATGTTCAGGCTCAAAAACTTGGACTTTCAATTGTATCAGGTTACATGAACCATGTT